AAAAAAAACATAAACCACATATAAAACTACGAAACTACAACAAGTGCAAATGCGAAATATATTTGATGATAAAATTAATAAACAAAAAAACAACTATGATTATAATACATTATCTAAACTATATACATGAAAAAAGAAAAACAAATAAAAATAAAAATAAAAATAAAAATACGATACTAGTAAAAAGAGAAATTACCCAAAAATCCAATAAAATGTAAATGCTGTTATTAATATTTGTTAAACTGTTATATTATATTTACAAACATACAATACATAGTAATGAAATTTGTTTTGCTCTTTTGTAAAATTACTTTTTAAAACATATTTCTGTGTTGATTTCGAAAAATATTTAAAAAAAAAAAAGAAAAACTATGTGGTAGCATGGTTAAAAATAAACGAATAATCCAAGGAAAACAAAAACAATAAATCTTAAAACCACATTTGTATGTAGGCAATTGAAGCAAGTATGCATTCAAGTGCATACTCGCATACCTAAATACATAAGTACATACATACATACACATACCTTTATATCTATATAAATTTAAATTAAATGTTTTAATGAATTCAAACCCGATTCTCCGAGTGTTTTTTGGAGTTTTATTGTCGATTGTATACAACTAATCGATCGGCTCCTCGTATCCTCGTATTTAAAAATTGCATTACTTATTACCGTCGAAAAAAAGAAGAAGAAAAACTATGTATTAATGAACTTAAATTAAACAAATTTAACGAAATTGTATTGTGCTTACTTTTAAATGTCCCTCAATAAAAGTATTAATTAATTATACCGAAAGAAACGGAATTGCCAGTGTTTGTTTCCATTATTTTTATAGTTGTAATCTAAATTTAGTTTTAATTAGCCGGTTAATAAATGAAGCAAAACCAAAAGATTCACTTTGGAAAGAAAAATTAGGAATTTCCTTATGGAGTTTTATGCCTACATAGATAAGGACTGCGTTTTGTCGCCTTTATTTTATACAATAAATTTTTTCAAATTACACAAATTGAAATTTTTTCGTAGTTTCAAATATTTCCAAAATGGTCCGAAAATGCATGTGAAAAAGTAAAGTCGGAATTTTTATGCTCCCACCCCCTAGGATTCTTCTATACCGAAAAAATTTAACCCTATTTTTTATTTTGAAATCACAAAATATTTAGAGGTCGCTCAAAGTGCGCAAAGTTTTCCATGCGTTTTATATGGGAAAATTACCACTTTTCGTAGAAATTAATATTTTTCGAGCAAGTCTAACGGCATATTATAAAGCAAGCGAAATGCTATGTATGTATACAGTGCCGGACAAAAGTATTGGCACAGAGAATTTTTCCGCAATATATCCAAAGTTTGGTATTCTAATTTATTTTCGATAAAAATATGTATACATATAATAATTATAATATTTTTTATAAAAATATAGTTCCTCCTACACCAAAAAAACAAAATCTCTAAACTTTGTGGAAAACTCAAAAAATTCAATAAATTTGCATACTAATTTGCAACTTTCTATTCAGATTTTTTAGCCATTTCAATTTTAAAGCCCATTCAATTTTAGTATAAAAAAATGTAAGTTTGAACTTTCTAAATAATCGCGTTGATTTTTGGCAATTTTTTTTAGTGGGAAGGTTTCCATACAAAAAAATAATTGTCGGTCGAACATACTGTGTATGGAAGAACCTGAGTGAAAACAAGTAAGAGCAGCGCTGTCTTCGGCTATGCCGAAGGCTTCATACCTTTCATGAACATCTGCAAATTTTACTTTGACAGATTACTGCTTTTGAGTACATCTGCATACATCGATAGAGGAGTTACATACCTATATAAAAAATCGCATCTGAACAAACAGAGGTATGGAAGATATACCTTATATTAGCACCAATCTAAGTGATTTTCACTGCTATGTGATCGGTATGTAAACCGACACAATTTATTGGGTTTAGTTTCCTACATAAAGGAGATATATCGCAAAAACTGGTATCTGAACAATCAGTGCTATAGGAGATAAAGCTTATACAGCATAGATTTTGACGATTTTCTCAGTAGACTTTGTATTATTATTTATAAAATATCTTACGAAATTTATCGGTTTTAGCTGTTCAAATAAAGGAGTTTTACAGTAAAATCCCATATCTGAACAATCAGATGTATGGAAGATATATGTTGTAGTCACCCGATCCTTGTTATTTTCACTGTAAGTATTCTGTTAATAATGAGTGAAAATGGTGCGAAATTTCATGTTCCTAGCTGCATAAATGCATGAATTATAACGAAAAATCTCATATCTGAACAATCAGTTGTATGGGAGCTATAGGTTATAGTTATCCGATCTTTTTAATTTTCACTGTAAGTTTTCTGTTGATAATTATTGAAAACAGTGCGGAATTTCCTGTTCCCAGCTATATAAATGGAGGAGTTATAACGAAAAATTTTATATCTGAACAATCAGTTGTATGGGAGCTATAGGTTATAGTGAACCGATCTTTGTAATTTTCACTGTAAGCATTCTGTTAATAATGGGTGCAAGTGCTGCAAAATTTCATGTTCGTAGCTGCATAAATGTAGAAGTTATAACGAAAAATCTCATATCTGAACAATCAGTTGTATGGGAGCTATAGGTTATAGTGACCCGACCTTTGTAATTTCCACTGTAAGTATTCTGTTGATAATAGGTGCAAGTACTGCAAAATTTCATGTTCCTAGCTGCATAAATGGAGAAGTTATAACGAAAAATCTCATATCTGAACAATCAGTTGTATGGGAGCTATATGTTATAGTGGTCCGATTCTTCCGGTTCCGACAAATGATTAATACATTATAAAAATACACCCACTTACCAAATTTGATCCGGATATCTCGAAAACTGAGAGACTAGATTGCATACAAACAGACAGACAGACGGACAGACGGACAGACGGACATGGATAAATCAACTCAGCTCGACGTTCTGATCAAATAAGTATACATTTTAATGGGTCTATCTCTTTTTGTTCTGGTACTTACAAACATCGGACCAAAGTTATAATACCATTTCATGCTCATGAAAGGTATAAAAATTGCCAAAAATCAACGCTGGGCTATAAAACTGCATACTTGGAATAGTGAAAGAGCAATTCTGACTACAGATTCGAATTCAGCGACCCCAATCTATTAGGAAGTCTATCTATTAGGCTAGTCTTCTCCTAGATAATATAAACGGGACTATCACAGAATCCATCGTAGCTTCGATTTTCGTGAAATCTACGAAAGTATTATTACAGAATCCGAATGGCTACGAATGTAAATTCGAAATTCGTAGAGAGCCTTCACTGAATCCGTTCGTAATGAAGATTCGTACAGATACTCTACGACGAGTTTATGCTGTCGGAACAAAATTTAAAATAACTGAATCTTAAAAATAATGCTGCATTATTGTTAATAATAAATATTTATTATACTCCAAATTTTGGTTATAGTTCGATATGGCTATTTAATGGCTGAATATTTCTTATGAAGCCATCAGTATAACAACAATTTATTAGGAAAAAAACTTAGTTATTTTCATTTCACAAAAATTAGTTTAAAAAATATTTAAATTAATTAAAAATAATATAATTGATCTGGAGTGCATAAGTTAATAATTGTCAAAATTTTTCTTGTTTTAATACACTAGTCGGCTCAAAATTTTAGGCAATGCCATGCAATTTTATATACGACTCGTCTGTCGAAAAACACTCGGCACGTCACTCGCAATGAGGCTGATAAGAATAGCTCGCCTCTTTGTTGATATGGTTTTTTTTTTATTTTAATAACATTTTAAAATCGGATTCTCACGTATAATATGCTTCATTAAAAAAATAATAATAATAATTAATACTTAACAAACAAAATCAAAACTTTACATACTGAGTGTCAAAAAAGTCTGCTAATCTATTTACTGGGAGTATACGTTTTTGCCTTGCATTTATTTAAAGCGATAGAAATAAAGTTAAAAACAAAAGACTTAAGCTGCAAACCAGAGGTTTCTCAATTGTGTTTCCTAATCCACTCTTGGCGCAGCAATGTACAAGCAATTTCGGGCATTCAATGTCAGAAATTTCAATGGCATTTTTAAATGGCATAAGTTTTTGTCATTTTAATGACTAGTGGCAATTCGGCAGTTCAAATTTTTTTTAAATAAGTATAATGCTGAATTTCCACTAGGCATTGTAATGACAAAAAATGTATGCCATTTATAAAAATGCCATGTGGAAATGAATTTAATGATCATTTTTTAATGTAATGAAACAATTTTCTTTTAATGCCTGACTTTGTCATTTGTCATTTTTGCCATTTAATGCCTAGTGGAAATCCAGCATAATTTTAATTTTTCGAATATCTGACCTTTGACCCCTTATACATAGTACCTGTAATATAAGTTTGCACAAAAAAAGTTATATACCTTTTAAATAAGAGCAAAAGGCGGGCCACGTCCATATTTTTACTTTTTTAGTTATTTACATACATACCAAAGGTCCAATTTCGAACTTCGAAGGCTCATACTTGATTTCAGAGGGTAACTTCGAAAAACGGAGAAATTACTTTTTTACTTATGAGTCAATCTCTCCAAAAAAACAATTGGTTTGGTCCAATACTCCGGAAAAAGGTGTATTTTGCCGTATAGTGTTATAGTTCAGTTTCAGTACATACTTATTACAGTAAAATCTGCCTAAATCCCCTAGCTTGGATACCCTACACTCAGTTTCCTTGCCCCAATAATTATATTATCCTTGCCATTTATCCTTTTAGCGTACACAACCCGCGTAAGTACCTTCGAAGTTAGCATTTCCAGGGGAGGTAGTTAAGCGGATTTTATTGTACATATTTACATATTTAAAATCTTAACTTAACTAAGTTTAACTCAATACTGGTAGCCTCTCAAGAGTTTCCACTTCACTTCAACACCATATATATACATACATACATACATACATACATACATACATATGAACATAGACTAACTTCAACAAATTATTCATACTTTTAGATTGCATCCTCGTAATTTTGCCCAACAATGTCGGACGAATCGGAAACGCTGTCGAAGAAGACCCGCAAAGCTTCGAGTCCCGCCTTCTCAGATGATGAACACATCGAACCGCCGGCATTCAGTTTGGCTACTTTGGGCCTGCGTCGTGTTGGCTCGGCACCACCGCCCAAGCCGCAACCGCAGCAACCTATACAAATGTTGAACGCACGCGGTATGCCCGCCCGCATACGCAAGCGAAACCGCTTCTTCTTCGATGACGACATCATTAACGATGACAAGCCACTCCGGATGAGTCTCTCACCACGCAAAGTGCCACTCAAGGCAAGCGTTTCGCCCCATAAAACACCCACCAAGGTTCTGAAGAAACGCACAGGCGTTGTCTCACGTTACATGCGCTCAGATGAGAAGAAAAAAAGCACTGAGGTGACCACACCGACACGCAGCAGTCACACAAGTGGCGCCAGCTCATCGACAAATACCACTCCCAAATCGAGCACACGCCACAGTGGCATACCAATCGCCACGAGCAGCAGTTCCGGCACAGTGGCACACATTATACCGACTGATAAGAAGATCGGTCAGAGCATCGGTTTACGTTTGCGCAATTTGTTGAAACTTCCCAAAGCTCATCGCTGGGTAATATTTGAGTGGTTCTATTCGTTTCTCGATAAAGCGCTCTTTGAGGGTGAAAACGATTTTCAAGTATGCTTGTCAGAATCTTTTCCTAATCTATGCACGCGCCAGTTAAATCGAGCCGAGTGGCGGAAAATTCGCGCACTGATGGGCAAACCTCGGCGTTGTTCGCAAGCATTTTTCGAAGAGGAAAGACGTGAGCTTGAAAGCCGCCGCCAAAAGATACGCTACATACAGAGTCGTAGGTCGGGCGACATTAAGGATTTAAACTTCGTTCGTGATTTACCGGAAAAGATACCACTTCCGCTGCCCATAGGCACCAAGGTGACGGCACGATTGCGTGTGCCACAAGATGGTATTTTCAGCGGCACCGTAGACGCCTACGATTCGATGAACTCCACATACCGCATTACGTTCGATAGAAGCGGGCTAGGTACACACTCTATACCAGACTTTGAAATCGTCTCGGAGAATTTCCATGAAATGCTTCCTCTGCAGAGCATCACAAGGGACAGCAGGCCTAACTTGATGAGCATATTTAATGGGGTCAGCTCTTCGCCACTGCGCAACATGCGCAACGTCCGATCTGCACTCAACATGAATTTGAACAAGAGTGACCCAGTGCTGGCACAGGAGGTAATCGAAAGTCCATTCAAGGACCCGGTACTAGGACGCGATAACATCAACGGCTACCCGGTCAAACTCCTGGAGACTCTGGTGCGCTTGAAACGCGCTCTAGCCTCCAAACGTTCCAAACTACAACGCCTCAGCGAAATGAACAACGAAGCGGAATTGAAAGCTTCACAGCAACTCGCAGCCGCACATAATTCAAATTCATCCTCAGATGAGTCGCAAAATACAAATGAGACAGTACCACAGTTGAGCGAAGAATTCCAAAGGCGCTATGCCTCAATTGTCATTTCGATGGAGAAAATGAACCGCGATATGCAGGATTATCTTAATGATGTGCAGGCGTTCGCAGGCGATTTAACACGCGATCCGCAAGTGCAAGCAATGCTCGCCCCCTCATATCTGCGCGAAAAGTGCCGCGAAGCCGCCGAAGATGCAGTGCAGCGCAATAATCAGGGCACAGTAAAAAATAAGACCGTACTGGGGCTCATTAAAAACCTTGCAACTGTGCTGCTTGTCGCTTCACATTTGGGCAATGATGGCAATTCGGCTGAAGTTTCGAAAGTGCTCGAAGGTTGCATCGAAGAAGTGCGTTCCAGTTTGTGTGGCGTAAATGTAGAAACCTTTCAGAAAAATGTACAGATTCATTTGCATCATGTGCGCATGCTGGCCGCCAATAATAGTGTGATGATGGGAAACTCAACCATCTCAACAGCCGGCGGACCTGATAGATGAATTTCTGGAGCCGAAAAATACACTTAGAAATATTACTCTACGAAAATGGATGTACGGAACGGAACTGTATAACATTACAAAAATAGTACTAATGAATTAATAATTAACAATATTTTAACAATTACTAGTTTTTTTATTTAGTTTATTGGTTTTGTTTGTCGATTCTTTTGTGTGTTGAATTCTTTATATTTATAAAAAATAAAACATAAACTTAAAATTTCTTAGCAGTTCATCACTCTTCTAATCACTTTCCTCCTCATCGTGGTCATCCTCTTCTTCGCTCGATTGATTGAGCCATTCGATGAGCTCTTTCAGACTCTGACGTAAAGCGTGGTGGTCTTCAGCATCGAGTTGTTCATACCATGCAATGATAGCGTCTTCACTTACGAAATCCTTATCATACAAGTAGTGTACAACTTTGGATATCTTGCTGCGAACATATTCGTTCTCCTCATAAATGTCCTAAGCGAAAGAAATAATTAAAATTGCACCTTTAAATAGAATTATGGCATACTTCTAATGCCTTTAGGCACTCTAACATGGCGTCTTCGGTTTTTATATAATTCGACATGACTGGTCCCAATTGCTTCAGAACATTGTTGATGGCAAAAAGAACGTTTTGATTTGCGGGCTCTTGGATATCTTGAAGACTGAATATCGCTTTCACCACGTAGAAATTCACTTCCTTGAGTGACATATTATACGCGTACCGAGATGAATTGATTTCCAGGATAAGGAAGTCTGGGTTGGATTTCTCTTGGAAACCTCGAGCCAGTGAATCCATCACTTCCGCCAAAAATACTGCAGCAAAGTAAGGTGGGTAGCAATAGCAATAGCAAGAGGTAGTATTAGTGTTAGTAGAAATTTAATAAAACGTAAACGTTTACTATTTGTATCATCGACGAGTGGTGTTACTGAACGGGACTCATCATCATCGCTGCTCGATGTGTAGTCGCTCTCGTCGCAGGTAGTTGGCACTTTAGAAACCTTTGGTATGCCTGTAGCTGCAGCCGGCAGCGCATCATCTTCTGAATCGGATGTATATGTAGGTTGTGTATCCTGTTTATCTTCTATTATGAAAGCTTTCTCTCCCAGCTTCTCCACCAATTCATCTATTGTAATACAAGAAAATGTGTCGCCACTCGTGTCTGAGGAAAGAGCTAACTTACCGTAATCGTCCACAGCATTTTTTACAATTACATTTTTTAGAGTTTTTCCCGAAGGTATAACACATTTTTCGCCCACTACAGCACCTTCAGTGAGCACAGTTCCGGCGCCAATCTTTGAGCCAAAGCCTATTACACAGCAATCTAACTTGCAGTCATCGGCGACGTTCACACTATCCAAAAGAAAGACATTTGAAAGCACACAATTTTTGCCGATTTTACAGTTTTTGCCAATAACGCTGCAGCTCACTGTTGTGCCTGCTTCTATCTGGCTGCCTGCTTGCACGGCTACATTTTCTCTCAACGTTGCTTTTATCACCGTTGCTTTAGGACTCTTGTATATATTATTTTTTAGATATACATATTGCTGAGCAAGACAATTTAACCCCATGTCGGGAACAAGTGGGTACGCCCAGCGGTTCATTACATCCTGGCTAACCATGCAGTAAGTAAGCCAGTTATTCACCTTCCGTGCATACTGTCCACGCGGCAACAACGAAACATATATACGACTGTCGAGGATTTCCTCGTTAATTAAAATACCACGTACGAAGTCATCTCGAGTTTCGAAATCGAAATTGTCGCTGAATAAAGAAAGCATAGATGGTGACCCGATAGCGATTTGTGGATCAATTAAATTATGCATTAGCGCCATTTCAGAATTATAAAGGAATACTTCCAGCGGCACCTCAAATTGTGACTCCTTGCTATGTAGTCGCAACCTTTGGTGATGATGAAGCCGATTGTTCTGCTGGTCAACAGCAATCATGATTTCGTTGCCTGTGCGTACGTTGCATGTGGCGGCCTCTTTAAAGACCAACGTAGCGGCGGCGCCTTTGTCATATTTAACAGTTTTTCTGAAGAGAATGTTAATGGTATAGCAGTTTGATTTGTTTTATAAGTTTGTGCTTACTTACTTGTGTTGCTCAAATATTGGCCGTAAATTTGCATTGGTCACCGTATCCGCGCCGAGCAAAATGAAGTTTCCACGAATCAAAGCCTTCGCATCTAAATCGCGCATAGCATCACCAAAGCACCGACATCCTTCTCCGCCAATCACGTGCACTGTCATATTTATTGACCATGAACTGAGTGATGCAATACCATTTCTGAAAAATCAGGGATAAATAGCTGCTAGCGCGTTATAAAATGTGCGCCTTACTTGATATGCTCCCGCACACTTTGCAACTGCAGGCTTGAGTAGACGAACACTTCTTCAATGCCACTGCGGTTGAGAGCGTCCAAAGCGTAATCTAATAGTGGCACATTCACCAAAGGCAACAGCGCCTGAAATTTGGAATGCAAAATACTGCTAATACGTGGCGGCTCATAGGACCGTTTTTTTTTACCAAAGATTCTTTCTTACCGTTGAATTTTCAGCGGAAAATGGTTGCAGCTGCTCCACATTATTATCCGCAATAAGAATGGCTTGTATGACTTCTTTTTCCCCAAACTGATTCATTTTTAAACAGCATAAATCAAAAAATATTACGGAAAACTATTCTGCGCATGGATAAGAAATCCTCGAATATATCGATAACTTCTTTTTGGCGAACCGATAACAATCGTCGAGCTTTTTGATGCTAAAGTAGTTGACACACCGATAAATTGTTCGTTAATTCATAGATCCTATCTTTATAAATTAAATTGAACCATCCCAATTTCCGGCCTGCGAAACGAAACTTTTATTTAAAGTAATATTATCTCTTTAGATACATACATATACACACGAGTAAAAATTGGTATACCTTGGTTACCGCGCCACCGATTTCTCCCACACTTGCCACAGATATTGGCCCTGGTCAGCATATTTTTTTTTTAATCGGACAATACCACTCCCATATGCAATGTAGCGGTAATTTAGAGAAATATGAAATTTTCGATGAATCAGTAACTACTGAAGCGACTTTATTCAAAATGAATGTTTGCAATAATTCTGCAGCAAAAAAAAAACGTGTATATCAAATTTTTGAAAAATGGCCGTGGCACCGTTCCGTCAATTTTTACCAAACTCGGCACAATTATTGTACTTGTTACATAAATCAATCGGACTAAATTACGCCCACATTTGATATATCGGTAAGTTTCAGAAATACTGAAACTTAGATATATAATTGGAAATTTAAGGACTCACAACAATACCCTGAAAAGAAGTAACATTATTATGAAATTTAGAAACTGGGAGTTTATCTCATTAAGTCTAACTACTTTCGAAGATGTCTGAAATAGGGGCGAAACCACCCCTTACTAACCATGTAACGGTATTTTCGGAAAGGTGAACAAAATATATAACTTGTAGTTTGTACTCGGTAATTTTGTCAAAATATTTGAATGAATTTCTAATTGAATTTACCAAATATGAGCTTCTAGTTTAATTATTTAAATACCATTAAATTTGTGGAATAGGCACAAACGAAAAAAAAATGTCTGTGCCACATCATCCGTGGTATTGCGTTTGGCGGATACCAGGTATTGCGCGCCAACCGACGATATTTAGTAAAGTTTGGTTTACTAATGCGCCTGTAGGTTAGTCTAGCTGACCCGTGAACCATCAATCGGTTCAACAAAATAGATGCCTAGACTTTAACCCTTGTCATAATGCACTTTTTAGCGAGTTTAACCCTTTGCTACTGCATTGGTCTGCAATTTCTTTCAGTGAGAAGGAGTAAGCTGAGTCAAGATGTCTGAATCTCAATCTTTCGAAAGTTGGGCCATGGTATAAATAGAAAATGTCCTATTGTCGATGTGATATTCCAGACACCTGACGCAAATTCTTCGGAACCTAGCATATTCCAACGATAATTGAGTATAGGTTTTATGCAACTCTGCAGCTCCTTCGAAAGCTATTACGGGAAGCATTGAATTTGTCATCCTTACGGACAAGGATTTAATGCCTTGTTGCTATTTCACATGATGAATTCTTTTATCTCTTTGCTCCAGCTAAAATCCTTTGCACCTTGCTACTTTGCTCCTCTCCGCTCCGAAGCCCTGGTT